TTTGGGCTCTATTCCTGGCTTTGCCACAGTGTAAGCATGGACAAGTCACTAAAACTCCCAACTCTCCCCATCAGAAAATGTAGCCACACTGTTTATCAGAGATGAAACTAAAGTCAAAATAGGTTTAAAAGAAATGTAGTTCTAAGGAACAAATAAAATGTTGTCATTTTAAATGTCCTATGAACATTATTATTATTCAGTGTAATATATTAATTGTATATTGTAATTAATTTTGTACTAGGTGGTTATAGGCAGGTATGAAGGGAAGGTGTCTGCCCAGAAGAGCTTGTGTAACCCACTCACCTCCTGGGTGTGATGTTCTGTCCCAGCTAGTGGCACCGAGACCACTTAGAGATTAATGAGTCTGCTACGGCCTTAGCTAAGAGCCATGTGGCTTTTAGCTCATGCAGTAGAGCAAACTACGGGCTGTGTCCCACCCATCAGACGTTTTAATCTGGCTCTCGAACTCCTGCCAGGGAGCAGGGTCTGGGGCTTGCCGCACTCCAGCTGGGGAGTGGGGTTGGGGCCTTGCCCTGCTCCGCACATGCCATGGCTGCTCCATGCAGCTTCTGGAAGCAGCGGCATGTCCCCCCTCTGGCTCCTACATGTTGGGGCAGCCAGGGGGCTCCAAATGCTGCCCCTGCCCTGAGTGCCACCCCCCCCAGCTCCCATTGGCTGTGAACCACGGCCTATGGGAGCTGCAGGGGCTACACCTATGGACAGGGCAGAGTGCAGAGCCGCCTGGCCATGCCTCTACGTAGGAGCTGCGTAGGTAGCTGGAGGTAGGACCTGCTGCTGCTTCCAGGAGCTGCTTGAGGTAAGCACCCCGCAATCCCTTGCTCCAGCCCTGATCCCCCTCCCGCCCTCCAAACCCCTCGGTCCCAGCCTGGAGCACCCTCGTGCACCCCAAACCCCTCATCCCCAGGCCCATCCCAGAGCCTGCACCCCCGGCCGGAGCCCTCTCCCCTCCCCCCTTACACCCCAACCCCCTGCCCCAGCCTGGAGCCCTCTCACGCATGCTGAACTCCTCATTTCTGGTCCACCCCAGAGCCTGCACCCCCAGACAGAGCCCTCACCACTTCCTGAACACCCCACCCCCAATTTTGTGAGCATTCATGGCCTGCCATACAATTTCCATACCCAGATGTGGCCCTCGGGCCAAAAAGTTTGCCTACCCCTGCAGTAGAGGCTCATACATTTAGCTCCAGAGATCCCAGATTCAATCCCGCCCACCGACCACCGGGGTCTATCCATGTTACACTTTCAATCTCCATACCATCACAAAAGTGAGGATAGGAAGCAACAAAAGCAATATGCTTTGATAGTGAAGTGTGGTTCACTTCATTAGTTCCACAGTCTAGTTTGTCTTCATGCCTTTTCCAAGAGTGAATCATCAGAATATGGTGGCACAGTGCAAAAACCAGACATGCAGCATACATAGCATATGAGCTAAGACTCAGTTTGTGGAGTTTGTTTATGTAGGTCTATTGAAAAATCAATACTTTGTAATGGATTTGATTGCCAAATCCAACATAGGTCAATAGTAACCAGAAATGGTCTAACAGCAGTTTTAGTGGCCTTTGTGAAATCAGTTGATGGTCTCAGTCCCATTCTTAGTGAACAAGAGTCTTCATTGCCACAATCATCCTCACATGTTGGCAGTCTCAGCAGCAACAGAGGCCTAAGACTGAGTGAATCTGCATACAGATCAACCCTTTAGGTGAAAGCATCTTGTTGGGAAGCTCCCACTACTACTGCTCACATATGCTTTACCTGGTTGTGAATAAACAGCAGAATTCAGTCTCCAAGACTATCCATGTACACACCTTATTAATATTACATTCTACAGTATTTAAGAAATGAAATAAAAAGGGGCTTTTTTCAGTACAATCAAACCAGTTGTCTCTAGCATACTGTACCATAATTCTTGCATTAATAATACTTCCCTGTTTCTAGAATTATAACAACAGTTGAAAAGAAGTCAGATTTGTGGAAACAGTATGTTCAAACTTTAGCTATCATTCTAAGGAGAATTAAACAGAGGACTCTCGAGTAGAAGTGGAGAGATTATATCACCTCTGTATTTCGTACAACTGCAACCAGTGCTGGAATACTGTGTCCAATATTCAAAAGATATTGATAAATTAGAGAGGGTTAAGAAAAGAGTCACAAGAACGCTTAAAGGATTGGAAAACATGTCTTATAATGAGAGACTCCAGGAGCTCAAACTATTTAGCTTAACAAAGAGTAGGTTAAGGGGTGATTTGATCTCAAGCTGTAAGTACACACCTACGCAGGGAACAGAAATTTGATAATTGTCTCTTCAATCTAGCAGACAAAGATATAACAAGATCCAATGGCTGAACGTATAGGCGGCTCGTGAGTCTTCCATCTGGGGAGGCTTACATGTGAGTGCCGGAAGCTCCCTAGAAGTGTGGGGGGCCACTGGTGCCTGGACCATGGGCCTGCCCCAAGGCTTGACCCCCACTTTGCCTCTTCCCCTAAAACCCCACCCCCACTCTGCCCACTCCTCTTCGCTGTTTCCCCCTAGGCCTCCCCCCGCCTGCTGCTCGCTCCTCTCTGCCTCTTTCCCCAAGGCCCGGCCTACCTGCCCCTCACTGCTTTCTGGGAAAGAGGAGCAAGCAGTAGGTGGGAGGAGGCCTTGGGAGAAGAGGCAGAGCAAGAGTGGAGCCTCGGGGGAAGAGACTGAGTGGGGGCGGGGTCTTGGGGCAGAGTGTGGGTGGGGCCATGGTTCAGGCACTGGTGGCTCCCCCCACTTCTAGGATGTTTCCGGCACTCCAAAGGTGGCTGGCCGGAGCGCCTCCAAAGGGAGGTGACCTGCGCTGCATCCACAGTATTTGCCATCCTGCATGGCCAGCCTTTTTTTGGGAAGCTTAGCCTCCCCCAGCCTCTTATACACACCTCCTACGGCTGGAAGTTGAAGCTAGACAAATTCAGACTGGAAATGAGGCATACATTTTTAACAGTGTGGGTAATTACATTGACAAAATTTACCAAGGGTTATAGTGCATTCTCCATCACTGGCAATTTTAAAATCAAGATTAGATATGTGTTTTTTTCCCCCAAAAGATTTGCTCTAGTTCTAACAGGAATTATTTTGGGGAAATTTTATGGATTTTATTACATTGGGAGGTCAGATTAGGTGATCACATTAGTCCCTTCTGACCTTATGTGTGAATGAAAAGGTCTTGAGAAGTCTTGTCAATTTTTGATTAGCGGCAGATTAAAGCTTTATTAGGCAGTAAGAAAACCACTAGGGTGACACTCATAAATTCTATAAACTCACCATTCAAAATCAAGTGATTTAAACCTCAGTCCTACAAAGATTTACACAGGTCATTGACCTTACTTGAGATTAAGGAAATTACTCACAGTGCATAAGATTAATCATTTCTACAAATCCTTCCCAGGATTAGGGCCTTATTTTGGTTATTATAGCATGGATGCCAGAGGAGGTGGCAGATGCATAGGCCAAGATATCAGTTCATTAAAATGTTTGGAATTCAGGTTTTTTTAAAACAGAAAAATAGCCTTTGTTTTTGTTTTGTTTTTTTAAAACTTATTTGCCAAAAAAAAAAACCAAAAACCTGTTGAGTTTTTCTACATTCTTCATGTTTATGCCTTTTATGATTGAAATTTGTACTAAAATGTTAATGAAATCATTATGGGATTTTTTTTTTGCTTACCAAAATGATTTGAATAATATTTTTAATGAGAAATGGGTCCATTTTGAATCTTGCAAACTACTTTAATCTTATTATGAATATTCTGACCAGTACTACAAAATCTGATTCTCTAAAATAGGACTTTCCCTTGGTCCATTTTAGAACAAATCTGCTACAGAGGGGTGAAAAGGTTTATATACATAACAGTCCTAGCAAACAAATTGCTCTCTGTCCTGACTGAGGTGCTTTTTGCCTGTTATCTAGTCCAGCGAAACTATACAAACAGTGTTAATAAACTGATGCTGAAGAGGGACAGACAGGTCTAACGTACATTCCCGCTCCCTACTATCTTATTTGCAGCTGCTCTGAGGACAGTCCCAGCGCACTAATGCTGCCAAGGGCACCAGTAGCAGCAGGTGTAGTAAGAGCGGAGGTGGGGAAAGAAAGAATACAAAAAGTGGGGAGGGAGATCTGCCAAGGAGACAACGCCTTCTTGTTTTGCATCACCACCAGGATGCAGTGGCTGGGCAGCAGCAGGGAGCAGGAGTTCAAGAGAAGCACCGAGCATTTGGGCTCATTAAAGTCCTCTCGGTAGTGCGGGCTGGGGAGCAGAGCCCAGGGGCAAGGGGGCTGTCACAGCTGCAGAGAAAGGGTTAGGAAGAGACTCCAGGGGGATCTGGGGTGGGGGGTTGGAAGGTGAAACTGAAATCAAAGAGCACAAGAAAGCTGAGCAAGAGACGCCGCAAAGCCGGGCTTTCTGTATTGTGGTGCACTGGGTGCTAATCTGCAGTGGAAGAGGTAGCCTGACCCGTGGATGCAGGCTCTGGGCCGGTGCATGGGGGAAATTGGGAGACACCGGATTGAATCAGAGCCCGGTTTCGATTAACGGGGCGGGAGGGGCGCGCCGGGGAGCTAGACAGGCACCTCCGGCCGCCGCCACAAGTGACCCCAGGCTCGCGGCGCGGGAGCGGCGGCCGGCGGGCTCCTGGTAGCGGCGAACAGCTGGGCGGGGGGGCGAGATGCCCCGCCGGGGGGAGCGGCCGCCTCGCTCCCCTGTGGCTGTGCGGAGAAGAGGGGCCGCCGCGAGCCCCGCAGGAGGGGGCCGGGGAGGCAGCGGCGGGCGAGCGAGGAGATAAATGGGAGGGAGCGGCACGGCGAGCGCCACAGGCAGCGAGCGGCGGCTCGGCGGCGGGCGGTGCCCGAGGCACAGCGGCACAGGGGCGGCGGCGGCGGCCCCCTAGCCGCCCGGGGCCGAGCGGGCTGCGGCTGGGCTGGGTGCGGAGCGCGCCGCGCCGGTGGCTCGGGGCCGGCCGGGCGGCCGGCGGGGGGAGCGGGATGGGCTGCGCGCCCAGCATCCACGTCTCGCAGAGCGGCGTGATCTACTGCCGGGACTCGGACGAGTCCACCTCCCCCCACCAGACCGCCGCCCTCTCGCAGGGCACCGCCGCCACCCTGCACGGCCTCTTCGTCAGGACCGACGCGGCCGACTCCATCCCCTCGGTGCTCGCCTACCAGAGCCGCCCGCCGCCGCCCGGCCCCGGCCCCGGCCCCGGCCCGCGCCGCCAGCAGCGCAGGGAGCCCGCCACCCCCGCGGCCGCCGGCCGGGCTGGGGCGCGCCGCTGCTGCAGCAGCACCGAGGCGGAGACCCAGACCAGCCACGCCAGTGTCAAGGTAAAGGCGGGGGGCGGGCCCAGGTGCCGGGCGCGGCGCGCTCGCTGGCCGGGGGCCGAGTGGGGTCTGCCCCCTCCTCCCCTTGGCCCGCAGGGGGCGGCCGGCCGCGCCGGGGCTTGGCTGGTAGAGCTGCCCCGCTCCGGCGAGCCGAGGAAGCGCCGCCCGGCGCTGCGGAGAGATGCGCCCGGGAGGGTGCAGCCGCCGGGCGCCGTTGCCTTGGTGGCCTCGGCCTCGCGCCAGCAGCAGAGGATCCCAACCCCGCCGGCCGGGCACCGAGTCGGCGCAGAGGCGCTGGCCGAAGGCGGGCGCGGGCTGGGGACCCCGGGAGCTCGGTTTTCTCGGCACATGGAGCGCAGCGGGGAGAAGCGGCACGCGCCCCGGATGCACGTGGGCCGCGTGTGCGGGCAGTAGCTTTCCAGAGGGCGATGGGTGTATGTCAACCTTGCGATCCCTCCAAAAGCTTCTGGCTGCATACCGGTGGGTGGGTGGGTGTGTAGGGCGCGGGGCGAGATGTAATAAAGCCAGGCAGAGTCACAGCGAGGATTCTCATTCTAAAGGCATGTTTCCCCCATCCCTCGGCTGACTTATTTTACTAGGACTAATACTCAGTTTTAACATTCAACCAGGGTACTGGAACAATTTCTATAGTGAGGGTGCTGAGAGCCATTGAACCAAACTGTAAACCCTCTATATAATGGAAACCACATCAGGCTAGGGGGTGCGGCAGCACCCTTAGTTCCAGCACCTAGGCAGTCCACTCCAAATAGAAAAACAAATCACCCAAATAGACATGAATGCATAAGTAAGTACATTTTGGCAGACATGGCTATAGTACGGCTAGTAGTAGTTGGTGAAGTGGTTCAACAGATGGCTTTAGTCTGTAGGAGTCATTCGCTGGAAGTCTGTGGCTGGATTCCAGCCATCAGTGGTTAAGGTATGCATTGCAGCAATCTGCATGTGGAGTGTTACAACTTAGATGTAGTAGTTATGAGGCTTATTATATAATGTGGTTTTGCTTGGGTTTTTTTCCTTTTGTATTTTGTTTGGGTTGGCTTTTAGGAATAGTCTTTGATTAACTAATATTCAAGTGGCCTGGCATTTTCTCTTCATAGCCATGAAAGGTCTGTAGGAATTACTAGTTCATGGTGTCATCACACTCAAAAGGTTAGGAGGACTTGTGGCACCTTTGAGACTAACAAATTTATTTGGAGACTGGACACAGTCAAAATAGTGGTGCAGTTTAATTTTAGTTACCTTCTCATGCTGTAATGGTGTGGCAGTACACATAACTTAGAAATTAAAGAGACACCATGAACTTAAAAAATCACACTTCTGTCTGGAATCTTTTCACTTGAAACACATAAGCTTCATAGAAGTGAAAGAGATTACAGGGAAAATAATTTCCCATGGTATATTTGCTTGCTGTATACATTTCATAGCATTCTGTGTATATTTAGTTTAATTGTTTCCATCACAGAGGGGCTGATCCTGCACCCTTAGAATGAATGGGTGTTTGTTATTGACTTCAGTGGGAGCAGAATTGGGGCAATAGCTAGTTAGTCAGTGTCCCCCGTTGTTTGTATGGGTGTTTCACACAGCAACATGGGAGAAAAGCATTTTAAAGGATAAGAAAATGTGATTGTAAAATCTACAAAACTTGGGACGGATACAATTCTCCATACTGCTTTTAACTCTCTCGCTCAAAAAGGTGTCTTGGTTTCAAATTGGTGTCTCTTTAAAGGGACAATATTGATTAAAAAACATATGTTATAAACAAATACATTCCTTTACCTATGTTACCAATAACACCTTTGGCTATTACAAAAACATGTATTTTAAAAATGCAATTTATTTTTCATAACTTATGTTCTGCTAGTTTTTTACATTTCTCTCAGCATAAACAATGAAAATCAATGAAGTCAGTTTGACTTTTAGGTTCTTGGTTCTGCAATGTTTGGATTCAGACACTGCAGATGAATGTTCATTTCCTTGAAAAGAACTGTTTTCATTGAAATGTTTAAAAAGTGAGAATATTTCTGTTATTTTTAGATTTTATAAAATCTTGTTTTTACAGCATTTAAATTTTGGGCCAAATTTAAATTTCCCTTTAACTTTTGTCACTATATTCTATAAAAGTATGCCAGAGAAATAATGCCCACACTTGTACATATTTTACATTCTGTGACTAAAGTGAGGTTGGATATTACAGAATTATTACCCATACAAAACACTGTTCAATTCCGACCTGGTTACAGAGAAAAATTAAAAGCATGATACTGTAGTTCTGTGTTGGTAGATGCAGGTAAAACAAAGAAAAAATATTCAGAATTTTGGCAAATGGTCTGTTTACATTCAACTGCCCATTGTTTTAACTATTATAACTCTTGGTTCAATATATTATCAGGAATGCAGCATTTCCATTGTGGTCTGAGTTGTTATCTTTAGGAAAAGAAAATAGATTCATTTATATATAGCATTAGTAGGCAGGTTAATCCTGATGTCTTCATCAAATTCCAGTTTGGATAACTATGTACTATGTAGTTCTACCTACCTTTCCATTGCTGTTTCCTCTGTCTTTACATTCTGTCCTAAACAGTTGTATATTGCAGCTCCTGGTTAATGCATTGCTTGCCTAAGGTGGCCACACTTCAGTGTGGATCATTTGCATATCAGGTTGTTTATAAAACACTTTCAAGTTGATCAATGTAATTGCATCATCACAATATACAACTGACATTAAAAGAGAAGTTTACCCACAGTATGTTTTCAACTCAAAGTAATTCAAACAAAAGGTAACAAAGACTGATGGTTATTGTTTAAAATGTCATGCATAAACTTGATTTAAGTCCAAATAATCTGTGGCTCATTATGAGTGAGACAATGGTTATAAAAATACATTTCCCCACTTACTTTTTAACAAAATGTTCTAGTCTTCATCACCCTCAAGCATTCAAGTCTGTTAGTCATTCAGGGTACTTATGCCAACCATGGGCAGGAATCTCAGGTAAGTGTGTGAATTCATTTTTCAGTACCATGTTTAAATGTATGGGTGGTGCATGACCCCAGTGTAGCAGGACACAGGTAATGAATTTTCATTAATTTGCTCGAACTAGAAGTAGCGGTACAACAAACAGAGGTATTGTTGTCATCTGCTTTTCATTCCCCTGTACAATTAGGTGGGGCCACGCAAAGCAGTTTGTTTATGTACACCGGGATCTCCCTTGAATCATCCTGAGAGATCTCAATGAAACTTTCATGGAGATACACTGCAATCCTCTCCCAAAAGTTTCTTGAGATGACAGCCTTATTTCTTCCTTTGCAGTAAGACACATCAGTCTGCGATTTCTTCAGCAGGCACCATTGCAGTAAACAGGTGCCTATGGGCCCATGTGGCTTCAGGATGCCAACATGGGCTATACTCTGTGCCTTTGTTACCCTCAGAGTGAGGGTATCAGCCAAAATCACCACCACCTGTGAAAAATAGTGCCAATGCTCAGGGCCATTGCCCTACAGTGATACACATGGAAATAAGGGCTGAAATTTTATTGTTTCATGAAACCCAACAATTCCCTCCTCAGTGCAACCCATGACCTTGCTGGGCTGTTGTCACCATGGCTGGAGCTGTGAGTGGCGGTATGCACAGGCTCTCCAAAAGCTGAAATGTCAATAAGCATGTGTCACACTTTAGGGGAGCTAGGGAAGGGAGTTCTGAAACTTTTGCTTTCTGATTCTGACTATATATACAAGGAAGGATACTTTGGTGTGTTTTAGCTCTTCCCCCTCCACACCCACTGAGCACTTTGGCCAGATAAGGAGGGGAAAAAAGAGGACTCAGGAAGAGGTTCTTTGAGATCCTGCAAGCCAGCATTGCATTGGACTGTGAACAGAAGGCCTGGAGGGTGAATATTTCAGACAGGATGAAGAAGCAAAGAGCGGACAAGAGACAGGCCGAGGAGTCAGAGAGGGAGATGCATCCGGGCATAATGGGGCTTCTCTGGCAGCAAACAAAAATGGCTGAAGAGTCTTGTTGACCTACAGGTTCAACAATCATAGGCTCGCCTCCTTTTGCAGTCAATAGAGAACTCCATTTTAGCACTTCCTGACACCCCCCAACTTTCCATGTGATGCTAGGGGCCGCATCCCTAATCCTCCAACTCCATCCCAGGGGACATTGAGGACAACCACAGCTTCACATGCCCTGCCCTTGAGAGACTTGTTGCTTTATGTGTAGCCAAAATTAACTGAAATGAACATGACTGTTCTTTCCCCTTGTTAGAATCTGTTCCCTTAATTTATTGTGGAAGTTTTAATTGTTATTTGCTTTTTAATTGCACATTGAGTTTGGTTTTGTTTTTTTGCACTGGTTTTGATACGCAATGAAAATCTATTTTTTGGAAAATAATTTCTCTTTATTACTTCACAACATATGCTGCAGAATGTCTAGCACTAATTAAAAAACACTCACTACTTGTTATTGTTCAGGGCGTCAGAACTCATAGAATCAGCAACAAACACAGTTTAATAATTATAAATGTACGGCAAGCACTGCAAAATTAATAGGTGCATTAACAGATAGTGTTATGTTCATAAATGTATACTAGGCACCACAGAATTCCTAACAGCACCCAAAACTGCATAGCCAGGTAGAACACAATCCACCACACCATATTACTGTGGCTGACTGTCAAAGTGCTCTTTCAAGGCCTGCCTCTCCCATATAGCTCTTTGTTGAGCTCTTTTAATAGCCCTTGTGTTTGATTGTTGAAACTCAGCAGACAGCTGTTCCACCTCCACCCCAGCAGCAATTTTTCCCCTTTTGCCTCACAGATAAGCAGGACACAACAGGCAAATCTAAGCTTTGGGATATTTTTCTCACTGAGATCCAATCTAGTGAGTCTCTTGGACCTCCCAAAACCACATTCAGCTGTCATGTTGCACCTGCTGAGACATTAGTTGAATCTTTCCTTGGTGCTGTTGAGGTGGCTGGTGCACTGCTTCAT